ATTGCTCAGTGGTGGGTTTCCTTTTATTTTTTTATTACTGGTTTGCTTGCTGTATGCCAGTTATCAGCTGCCTTTGGAGTCAGACATCAGTGAGGCAGACGAACAGCTGGAGCCTGATGACTAACCCCGAAGGCAGGTGATAACTGTCAGACGGTCCTGGCCCTCTCTCTGCCTCCGACACAGAGCCCTCATCAGAATCTTTCCAGACACTAAGAGTGGCCCATGTTCCTCCCCAACCTCCTCACTGTCTGAGTCTGCTGCCAGCTCTGCTGGCGGGTCATAGCAGGAGCTCTGGAGGTCGCTTGGGGGTTTTATCTGTGCCCTCCTCGGGGTCACTTGTATCAGAGTGCAAACGGTTGTGGAATCATCTCGGAACTGCCGAAAGGACTGTGTTGCAGACCAGAGACAGATGATGTCGTATCCCTCCCCTTCTGTTGAGAGGGGCTCTTCAGTCTTGATATAGGTGGCCTCCTTGACCCCTCTTTCAAACCAGCGGTCTTCTCTGCCCGCATTCTGGATAGAGAAGAGGAGAGAATCTGCTGTCCAAAAGCCCAGGAAAGTTCAAAGCAATTGAGGACGTATGAGCAAGAGGTTTATTATTGCTGAAATAAAATATAAATGAAGACCACTTGGATTGAGCTGCTTTAAAATAAATTGGATGGGGGAGACTTAACGCAAACTTTTGACCTACTCTGCTGGCCATTGGGAGCCACCTGATTGCAGGGCTCATGGTAACAGGTCATAAATGTGGTCAGGTTGCTAAGCAACCCAGATCACAATCATGGGGCAGCCAGAACTCTTGAGGCCAATCCTAAGCACCCTTGGTTCAGCCCCATCCAAACTTGGAGAGGTGGTTGAGCGGAATGGTTGCGGGTTGACAGTAGACATTTGAAGCTGGAAGCTGTATTGCTTTATTATTGTGACCTAAATAGTAAATGAAGAAAAAAAATAAAACGAATTATAGTTGAAATACGCATGCAGAAATACCCCGATTCTCCACCATCTTCCAGTTTGATGCCACTTCTGTAAACGTCTACGTAACAATGAATTTCTCCTTGTCTCTTGCAGCATCATGGAAAAATCAGGAAGGTAAACTTTCAGAAGAAACATGAAAAGGTATTTAGCTTTGTGTTTCGGATCCATGTAAAACATTTTGTTTCAGTTTTCGTAGATTTTCACGGGTGTCTTGCTGGTCTTGTTGTATTCGGGTCTTTTCCCATGTAAGATTGAGATTGTCTTGGCAANATTATTGTTTAATGTTGTATGGCTCCGGCTATGCACAGTATATATGTGAGTGTATGAAAATGAAAGAATGGAAAATAAAAACCTTTTTCACAAGTAGAGGACTACCTGTACTCAAAAATGAGGTGTTGTAAGTTATCACTTCCCTTAATGCTATGTGATTCCCCATGCTAGACCAATGCTTAGGCCTTCTCTCTCAAAAGTGTGGAAGAAATTCACAGCTTTTTGCACTATACATATTTCCATAAAAACAGTTTGTTTAAAGTCTCTATAAAATAGCAATCTAAGCATCCAAAAATGAACTTTGAGATAGAGATGCAGTATAATAAAGATTAATACAGTGATAGCACTTCTGCTGGTTTCTATTACATGTTGTGAAACAATGAAGTTATTAATAGTTTAAACTACTAGTTTCTTCTCCAGTTTTAATAAAAGTTATTAACAAATAAATGTTGTAGATTAATGCCAGTAAACACGACTAATCCATAAAATAAAGCTAATGCATGGAGGACGTTACGTGAAGGCATACCAAGTTAAATGTTTAGGATTCCTAGATAAATGTTTAGATATAAGATGCAGATTTACTTATGACACTAAGCTATAGGAGTTTATTATTTGTTTTCCCACACTGTATTAATGCACCTATTGTGGTTTATAATTCATAATTATCATGCTTTATATGTGTGGTACAGGCTTTACTTTTGTTTAAACCATGATCAACTTAGCAACTACTTAACTATTCCAAGTGAAACTCTACAGTACTTAAGAGTTTAAAAATTAGTATATTTATTTTAAAATATTGGCATGAAATAAACTTAATCGAAAGCATCAACCTCTTTAAAGGTCTCTTGATTTTTTAAAAACAATTTCAAAGTCATAATTTCTTCAGAGGTCAATTTTATGAATGCATGTTTGCCATCGTTATTCTGCATTCAAATTGTGAACCCTTTTCATTATAAAGGCATTCTTATTACCTGTTGAATTTTTAAAGGGACCTAAACTAATTGCAAAAACTGAACGAAGCATACAGCAATAACAAAAGACTATTAAATGCTAGACAAACACTTTAACTTTGTCATAATGTCTGTCTTTACACCAACTGAGAATCTTTTACAGAGATCCTTCCCACATTTGGCTTTGAATTATTAATGGACTACATCATCACTACTTTCAGGCTTTCCTGAAGCCTGGGAAAGGCGAAAAATGGCCCAATGGGCCAACTGAAAATCCGGAGTTTTCAGTGAGGCCAGCACGCATGCGGGGGGGGGGGGTTGGAGTGGGTGTTGTGTGAGCATGCGCAGGGGGGAGGCCAGCTGCCTGCAGAGCATAGCGAACAGGAGAATAAATGCACCCATCACAGAACACAAGAACGCAGTAAGAAAAAAAGAAAAAACTTC